TTTCACTTTTTCCACGTTTTCATCGGTTGTTGATGTGCTGGGGCGTCCGGGGCGCTCGTCATCTGCAACGTCTTCACGGCCATCTTGGAAACGCTTATACCACTCGTAAACTCTTGTTTTACTCATAACAGACTCACCATAGGCCTTTGTTAACATTTCACACACTTTGTAACACTTTATTTCATTTTTTACGCAAAATTTGATACAAATTCTTTGATCCATTTCTTTTAACAAACGAAAATCGCCAAGCTCATAAAAACACGTCTAACCTTAGCGGCTGCCACAGACAAAGTAAGCAATGAATACAGCTGAAAATTTTATTGTACTTCAGGGGCATGTATACCAACATAATAAAAAAAAAATTTTTGACAATTCTACTCTCCAAACCCGCGAAATTTTAAAATTCCCGTTATTTCCTGAACACACTTCGTAAAGCAGAAAAAATAAGGGACCAAGAATCAAGCCCTGAGGAACACTGCATTTAATTGTTTCCCATTTTGATGAGTTGTTACTGTCAGTTCTATTACCCAATACAACTCTTTGATATCTACCTGTCAGATAAGATCCTACAACTGTTTTCAATTTTCCTTCAATTTATCCAATAATATGTTATGGTTAACACAGTCAAACGCCTTTTGTAAATCACAAACAAATGCCTCCCACCATTAACTCATTAGTCATCGCAGTTAAAATATTATTTGTCAATGTAAAAACTGCCTTCTCAGTCCTAAAACCATACTGTTGATGTACCAACAGATTATTTGCTTCAATATGAGTAATAAGTCTCGCATATACGAGTTTTTCAATGATCTTAGAGAAAAGAAGTCAACAATGATATAGGTCTATAGTTGGATATGTTATGAGTTTTCCCTTTTTTAAATAGTGGTTTAACTGTGGCAAATTCTAATCTATCAGGAAAAATACCAGTATTAAGTATTGCATTACAAATATCAGTAAGTGGAAAAATTATAAATGGTGAACTTAACTTTATTACTCTGTTTGAAATTTCATCATATCCACTTGAGTTTTTAGTCTTTAATTTAATAATTTTCTTAATTTCATAAGTGGAAGCATACTGCCAATTAATTTCGGTAAAAGGTCTACTAAATGTGTTTACTAAGTAATTGACTGGATTGGATGAATTGGAGCTTATATATTTATTATTATCATCTGATATAATAGAATCAGCTATAGGTAGGAAGTGTTTATTAAAAGCATTTGCAATTTTGTTCTNTTTTTTTTAACATGTGACAAAGGGAAATCAGTGATTTGAAACACACTAAATAGGTGATGCATAAACAAGGGAGGAGAGTTGTGTACAGTATATGATAGTGATGCAGGAGATGAAGAGCTAGTTCTACTTTTGCCATATTTCATGGGTCACTTGGCAAAACTTGTCATTTCAGCTCTGTACTGAATGACCCAAATGGAAGTAGCCTACAATTGGCCCACCCCACACTCCCTTTCGTGCTGCACTTTTGCTGTATTGATTCACCTTTAAATGTGTACTGATTTGTAGGATGGGGTACTGTAAAAAAGGATAAGAATTTGTTTCCTTGCATGAAAAAATGTTTTAGAGTGATAAATAACACAGCAATATGTGAGGGTTGGAACTTTAATAGTGGCAACTATTTATTTACAACTGATACAAAATAGATGCATGTTTCAAAGTTTTACTGTCCTTCAGTGTTGTCACCTGCATTGTGTACAACCGTTGCCAGCGATGTGGAAGTCGTAGGATACCTTTAGCAGCGCCTGTTGTGTTGATAGTTCGAATGGAGCGGTCTGCTGCCTCAAAAATATCTGGAACAGTTCTGAAGCAAATGCCATGAAGTGGTTCCTTCATCTTAGGAATCAAGTCAAAGTCACAAGGGCTTAAGTCCGGGGAGTATGGTGGATGGTACAGCACTTCCCAGCCCCATCGATTGAACAAATCAGCCACAGCTTGCGCTGCATGCAGCCTAGCATTGTCCTGCAAAATGATGGGTGGGTTCTGCAGAAAGTGTCGCCGCTTCTTTCTCAAAGCTGGTCACAGGTTCTATTCCAAAAATAAATGGTAATACTGTGCATTGACAGTCTACTGTCAAGGAACTGTATGCGTTAGGATAACACCATCACTGTCATACACGAGAATCACCATAACTTTCACATTGCTGGGGTTGTGACGAACTTCTGATTTTTGTGGTGACCCGTAATGACGCCATTCATTCGATTGGCATTTCATTTGTGGCTCGTATGATTTGGCCCATGTCTCATGCAGCGCAATGATACGGCGGGCGTAAGAAAGCCTCTCCTTCGCGCTCATAGCGCTCCAAGTGGTTACAAGCAGTGTCGTATCATAGCCATTTCTGCATTTCCGTCAAATCATGGAGAACCCATCGTGATGCAGTTTTTCTCATGCCCAGGTGTTCCTTCAGAATGTGAAGCACAGTCATATATGCTAATCCTGTCTCTCGGGCCAGCTCACAAATCATATGGTGTCGATCACTCTCCAGTAACGCGGAAACTTCTTCACTGACACTAGGACGACCTGGCCAACGCATGTCTGCCACATTTTGGCGTCCCTCATTGAAGGCTATTACCCACCTTGTCACTGTTCTGTAAGGCAATGCAGATTCCCTGCAAGCCTCTTGAAGACTGTCATGCTGCACGGCCTCTGGCACATTCAATCTTTATCCAACTCCGATGTTCCTGTTTCGAAAACATCTTGACAACACTACATTAGACCGCTAGCTAACATGAGGCTCTGTTCTTCTCGTCACTGCGTCTGTGAGTGATGTGGGAAGAGAGAGTCCATTTGCTCTGAGGTAATTTAGGTATGTAACTAACATGTGGTATAAGCAACATTATTTGGTTCCATTGCATGGCATCTCTACAGCAGTGTTGCCAAAGTTCCAACCCTCATATATAGTCCAGTTTCTTTAAAAAATAGTCATAATCGTCAGCTGGGGCTCTGTATATACAGAGAATAATTACCTTTTTCTCATTAAGTTTTAATTGAATGGCCGCAATTTCTATGTCTCATTCCTTGCAGTATTTTTGTAGATTTATAGTAGTATAGGACACGAATCAAATTGGTCCTAGATTTTAACAAAAAGTATTTTTAACAATCCTTTGTAAATAGACTAATTATAATAATTTATATGTTCTAACAAAGTCATGCACATCGTAGTAATTGTTACAAAATAATATTTTATATCTATGACATTGTAATAATTTCTGTAAGTACTGATAATGACCAATGACATTGTAATAGTAGTTTTCGTATGTATTGACAATGTCCTTCTGAAGATGGTCACTCCGACCGAGACATGTAAAGGATGAAAGATTAAAAAAACATATCGTTTATCAGTCACACTGGATGGCATTAATAATCTTTTATTTTAGTGTATAAAATATGTGTTATTGAAGTTTAGTGTCAATAAATTAGCTTTAAGCCAGTCACGGTAGCTGAGCGGTCTAAGGCATGCACTGTATTTGCTCACTCTGAAGCCAGGATTGTGGGTTTGAATCTGACTCAGGTCATGGATGTTCAGAAAGTGCACGCATGTGTGCATGCATGTACGCACATGCACATACAGGTAGAGGCCTTGTGACGAGCTGATTCCCTGCCCAAGGAGGCCTGCCGAATGTTTCAGGCCTACTAAACTGAAGTGAAACGGGGAGTTTCATGGATGTAGGCCAAGGCCCAAATTGGGGCTGTAGTGCCAAAGGGGGAAAAAAAAAGTAGCTTTAAAGCAATCGTGTATGTTTTTAAATGTTTGAATAATGTTGTTTTCATAATCTAAAGGGCTGGAATTCCTGATAATTATACTGGTATTATCTTAAAAAAAAACATGTTTGGATTTATTAATTATAATGTCTGGCAAGTCATTCAAATATGAAAGAAACAGTAAAGGTCCCAGAATCGATCCCTGGGGAACACCATTATTAAATTTGCCCCATCCAGAATGAATATGCCAATTATTGATTACAACTCTCTGGTATTTATCTGTGAGGTAGGATTTTACCAGTGCATTGGCCTTACCAGCTATTCCATAAAATTAGTCATAATTGACATAGTCAAAAGCTTTCTTCAAATCACAAAAAATGCCACCATCTAATGTTTTGTTATTCATTGCATTTAATATTTCATTAATTAATTTTGGAATGTTCACTCTTCACAATTTCCACAAGTGTATGTTTCCGCATATCACCTAAGAGTTGCCCAGGGGGGGTCCACATGAGGCCTGCGTGGGTTGGAAGTTGATGGGCCCGGTCGCACTAAGTCTGTGTCTGACTCTTGTTCTGCAGCCACCATCTGGTCTGTAGCCCAGGCCTTTGCCACATTCATCAGAAATGCTTTGTATTTCAATTTCGAATTAGGGTTTAGATTTTTGTAAACCAAAAAATGAATTGAAAATGGCACAATTTAGAAGCCACAAGGCAACATTCTTTGTCCACTTTATTATTTTCCTAGGAAGAGAATAATAGGCCAAGTATTGATCAGCTCTATCAACTCTCTTCATGAACATATTATACTCTGAAATGCAAATAGGCTTCTTTACTTGTCCATGTCTCATTTGAACATCAACCATGCTCGAATTATGAATTGTGGAAATCATAGTCACAACACGAGTATCCCTCCAGGACTGAAGAAGAATATCCCCCTTCCTCCTGAATGTGGTTTCATCACGTTTCAGGGATTTACATTCCTCTTTCAGATCTGGAGGAAGGCCTCTGCTCACCCTAATTGTTCCACAAACACGCACTATTCTTGAAAGAAGATATTCTGCAGTTACCACACTGTTATAATAATTGTCTTGATAGACATGGTAATTTTGATCAAGATAGGGTTCAAAAACAGAAACAGTAGTTTCTTGTAATTTTTTGCCTTCACCAGAATAAATTTCTAAATTTCCAGTATAGCCTGAAGTGCTTTCAGTAACTACACGAACAAGGAGGCCATACTTTGTAAGTTTCCCAGGATTATATGTTCACATACGAAGCCTTCCCCTCCAAGGAATTACAGATTTGTCCAAAGACAGTTGTTGGTTTGGCTTATAAACTGTCTGAAATTTCTGAACGAAAAAGTTTAATAAGGGCTGAATTTGGAAAAGCCTGCTTGTTGATTGTGGTTCCAGTTCATTATTATTGAAATGCAGACACCACCAAATTTGTTCAAATCTCTTAAGGCTCATTAGTTTGCCGAAAATGGGAATTTCTAAAAATGGATCTGTTGACCAATACTCTTTTAGATTATCCCTCCTTGTATGCCCCATTAGGAAGATTATTCCCCAAAATTTTTTCATTTCTGCTGAAGTGACATCCACCCACTTCAACACCTTTTAACTTCTGTCATACTCTTTACGGTGTTGGAGATAGTATCTGTTAGTTTCCTGACATAACATGTCAAAGGAACTATCTCCAAAAAACAGTTCTGCTACTTCAGACACTTGTGTTGGGTCTAATAGAATTTGTTTCACCCCCAGATTTCCAGTAAACTGTCTCAAAATAGGCATTTTGTGTTTTGGAGTGGGATAGGAAAACAGCGAGGTCATGTTACTGACTACTAATCAAACATACGGGAGGTCTATTACGCACCAGTTATGCATCTGCATGGTGCCAGAGCAAGGTATAGTGTGTTGCAACATAATGTATCCTTAAATCATAATATTATGTGACCGGTCCACCATGATTAAAAGCGAAAAGCATAATATTATGCGACCAGTCCGCAAGGTGTTAATGGAAAGTTAATGATTTTTTAAAATTTTAACCAAAAATTTGTCATATCCATAAGAATCTTTTGGTTTAAAGACTTAGTTATATTTTCAGTTTCTTTAGTAGAAGTAGAGCTATTCTTACAAGTAGTGATGACAGCTCTGATATGAAGTTATGTATCAATAATTAAGTTTATTTTTCTTTATTCAGAGAGGAGCAGCATCTGCAGAGAACAACCAGGCACAGCTGGAGCAGTCACTAAGAGAGCTGCGAATTTTAAACTCATGTCGTCATGACAACATACTTCCATTGTTTGGGTTCAGTGTGGGAGGTGCTGAGCCCTGTCTTGTGTATCAATTCATGCCCAATGGCTCTTTAGAGGATCGTCTGTTATGTCGGGTAATTATTTTTGTCAGTATTATATAGTAGAAATTGAAAAGTTTTGAATAATTCATGACAGTATTAGTAATCAGATTGTGGGTGTCAGATTGAGAAATTATAATGGAAAGACATATCCCAGTGGAGTTCATGCTTGCTTTTGCATACATCATTGGTCATATGGTTCATTTATTGCACACTAATATCTTACTACAGAACTTAAAACAATCCAAAGAGCACTTAGAAATTTTCATTGTATTTAATTAAATAGGCAGGCGGCCACCACACAAGGCTAACAACCGTACTGCCATCTGTGAACCAACTGTCTAGAAGATGCGGAAGCCTCAACCTTTCACACCCCCATGGGCCTTCACAGCCTGTTATAGCCATAGCTTTACCTTTTTATTTAATTAAATATGCAAAACATTGAAAAATATTTTGAAAAACATATAGATGTTAGTGTTGGTCAAGTTATAAGCCATTATACTAATTATTTCACATTGGGCCATTCTTTTATGTCTGGGATGTGTTGCCCCATCTTCAGAGTAGAATAATTAATGTGGGTAGTCTGTATATCAGTCCTGTATGAACCAAAATTAAAATTTATGTTTATGCCCTGGTTCCAAATTTTGTTGAAATCTGTTGAGTAGCTGCAGGGGTCATATTGCTTTTGAGGGTAATTTTCTTAAATTATATCTTCCAAGAAGCAGAATGAAGTTAAGAAAACTTGATGCTCTGCACTAATTAAGAACAACTAAATTTTTAAAATCCTGAATGTAAAGCTGCATACAGAACACAATAACAAAATCAAAGTATGTTTCCATGGAGAGCATATTTATGTGTCTTATTTTTAAAGCCACACTAGGTCATTCACCAGCAAGTTGAACTGAATCCAGAGGCCTAGCTGGCCACGTTCAGGAATGGTGTCTTTGTCCTGGTGACCAGACAGTCAGGTGGGAGGAAAACACTTACAGTGCATTGAGTGCAGAGTTTGCATTGTGCATCTGATGACTAGACAGAATTGATCCTTTCTGCCATTGTGGGGGTGTCTGCCTGGAATGAGTATTTGTTTCTTTAGCACAGGAAATATATTTCCTACCAGCAGAAACCAACAAAGGGCCAACATTTTCCAATTTCACTTTTGTAGAAACAAAAGCTTTTGGTAAGCATGTAATTAGGGCCACTCTGTAGTATCATCCACTAATTACTCATTTATCTTGCAGTTATGGGCATTGCAATGTCACAGCAAAATTTGGTAAAATGAACTGTTCTCTGCTGAACTTAATATGCTAAAATATGGTTTATAAAAGGAATTTTAATCAGCTGGTCTGATGACATCAGTATGGTGAATTTAAATGGTGCAGCCTTGGGCTAAATTCTGTGAAGAATAAAAACCTTTGTTCAGTAGAAGTAAAACTCTGATTGTCCACTGTGTTTTAATGGAGTGACAGAAGACACAGAGAGTTAAGGTGTGCATATTATTTGTCTTGCAGAAAGGATCACCACCATTAACATGGCTTCAGAGGCATAATATAGCACAAGGAACAGCAAGGGGCCTTCAGTTTCTGCACAATTCAAGGCCTTTTATACATGGAGACATAAAAAGGTAGGAATAGCTATATTCATTATTCTCTTGTTTTCTGTAAAACATTCTGACACTTCAGTAATATTATGTTAAAGGTTCTCAGAGGAATGTACAAGGTGGTTCACATATGACCGGGACTGATTAGTTTGTAAACTAGCCGAAATGCGCAGCAGCTGTATGACTTTGAGAGAGTGAAGTCACAACCTCCACCCTCCCTCCTGTTAGGGTTAGAACCTGTTAAGTCCTGCCTGGAAGTTGCTAGAGTGATGAGTGAACAGAAGGTACCGCGGAGCATGGAACAACGCATTGTGATCAAATTCCTCGTTGTAGAAAAGTCCTGTCTGCTGAAATTCACCACAGACTCCAACAACTGTATGGGGAAGAGTATCTCTCACGGACCCGTGTGTTTGAGTGGTGTAAGTGCTTCAGAGAGGGCAGAGAGCGCATGGAGAATGAACTGCATGATCGTCGGCCATGAACTCCATCACCGAGCCAAACATTGGTCATGCAGACATGCTTATTTGTGAGAATAGGCGCATCACTATCAAGGAGCTTGGAGCAATGCTGTCCATTAGTTTTGGTAGTGTACAAGACATCGTAAAATTCCACCTGCACTATCGCAAGGTGAATGCACGGTGGGTACCACGCACTTTGACAGATGTGAACAAAATGGTGCGTATGCAAGCTGCCAGTCGTCTCCTACAGCAGTTTGAAGATGAAGGTGATGTATTTTTAAGACTATAATGACCACTGATGAGACGTGGCTGCACTACTTCATTCCCGAGTCCCAGCAGTCATCACGCGAGTGGCGGCATACGAGTTCTCCCAAATCCAAAAAGGCGCGGGGGAGCCGTTCGGCAGGAAAAGTGATGGCAACATTCTTCTGGGACTGGCAAGGGGTTATCTTTGTAGACTTTCTGACAGATGCCAGAACAGTCAATGCAACTTATTACTCAGACCTCCTGGCAACAGACGTAAAGGAAAAGTTCCGATCCAAGCGGAAGACAGGTGGAAAGCGGGTACCCTACCTACAAAACAATGCGTGCCCCCATATGGCCAAAACAACAATGGAAACCCTCCAGAAATTGAAATGGAACCTTCCGACACATCCGCCGTACAGTCCCGATTTGGCCCCAAGTGATTTCTACCTGTTCAGAAGGCTCAAATCAGACTTGCAAGGCATGAGGTTGTGGACAACGACGCCGTCAACCAGACTGTTCGGGAGTAGATACGTCGCCAACCACAAGCCTTTTGTGAAAATCAGGATGCTTCCAGAACGTTGGAAAAAATGTGTTGACTCCGGAGGGGAGTACGTTGAAGACTGACGTGTGCAAGCAAGTGTTTGGCAATTATGGTTTAAAAAAAAATCAGTCCCAGTCATATTTGAACCACCTTGTACAGTATATAAGATTTTTAATCACCGTCCAGTGTGATTGATAATAGATGTGTTTTTAATCTTTCATCCTTTACATTTTTTCTCAGAGCAATGAGTATGAAGGATACTATTTTCTGGGATGTGACACCATATAGACTTGTATAATTATTATGATGTTGCAGAGCAGTGTACTGCCAGTTCTTCCAAATGGTGATAAACTTCTACTGGACTACACTAAGTCATATCGGTCACTCTTCAGAAATGCTCTCTGAATCTGTAGTGGTTCTGCAGAAAAATTTATTTCTGTTGATGAGAAAGAATTCTGAAGAAATGACCTGTGAGGCTTACTGAGAATTTAATGTTGTGGACTATAATGTTCCAAAGTGTTTAGCAGTTTATCAGTTCCCTAGTGAGATAAGGAAAACGTGTATAGGATTGTGCCAAGCTAATTGGAAGGCTGAGAAAGAGATGGGAGTATAAAAGATGGATCTTAAGGAAATGGGTTGTTAGGATCAAAAGTGGATAGAAAACTGTCTCAGGATTGTGTCCAGAGTTTGTCTGTCTGTCTGTAATTATTTAATGATGCTCTCTATAACTCTAACCATATAGTGCCAAATATTTGGATGAAGTGAATAATGAACTGGAAAGGATGTGGTCATGGCCTAATTCGGTACTGTCCTAGCATTTTCCTGCAGCCAGGTTGTGAAGCTGGCCACTCACTTCCAACTAGTGCTAAAGTCAAGAATACTTGGATCTCTACATCCACACCTCCTTACATTTTCACGGTATAGTGCTTAATTAATTAAGCACAGGAACAACTTTGCATTTTTTTTCCCTGTCATTTTCCCGGAGAGACTGAAGAAAACTATGAAAATTTAAGATAGTGAGTGCCCTGGCTGAGATTTGAACTGGACACCTCTCAGATACAAGTCAAAAGAATTGCCTCTTGCACCATCTTAATGTAATGGTGACCCATGGTGGCCAGTATAGAAACCTTTCAGATCTACTTTCACGTAGCTGAGATAATTGAGTTTGTTATACCAAGATTTATTAAGTTCTATATTAGGTATAAATAACACCTTAATAATAAAGGCAAAGTATATCTGCCTCCATCTCACTTTGTTTCTGAGAGACTTGTGTGTAAAATAACTAAGCTTTCAAAATGGTAATTCATATTGAGTTCTAATTTCACTGTACATTTCATTGTGCAGTGCCAATATTTTACTGGATATAAACTTCATTCCACGTATTGGTGATTTTGGACTTGCAAGAGAAGGACCTCAAAATAATTACACACACATGAAAGTGAGCAGGGTCCATGGAACTCGACCATATCTTCCAGATGAATTTCTGCGTGGCAAACAGATATCAACCAAAGTTGATACCTATAGCTTTGGTATTGTAAGTATTTACAACATGTTACACACAGTATTTTTTTTTTTTTTTGCAGAAGTGTAACTTTCAAATCTGAGCACATGAATGGTTTTCCATGAGCATCAGACAGATTTTGAACAGTGTATTTAGTATACCTGTTTCCTTAAATTATCATTTTCTTTGCAAAGATTAGTACTGTGTAGACAGATGAATGAGTAGCAAGGTTCATCAAGTGCAATAAGTTTTAATGTAAAATAAAGCCTTTACATGTTTTGGCTACTACTGGCTATCATCAAAAGGCAAAGCCAAAGCTACAAAGGAATACTTCATATGTATGATAAACACAGGTTGTCATAAAGGGATTTCTACCAAGAGAAATACAGAGTAGACTGAAATGTAATGTAATAAGTTGTGTTGTTAAAAATAATAGATAGTATCAGTTAAAATGAATTAAAAGTCTTGTTATATGAGTACAAGAACATGGTTCTTAGTGGGGTGAGATTGAGCCCACTTGGTACTGTGGCCACTACTGGCCTATTGTACCAGCTCAAGATGATAGATGATGGTGATTGTGGAGCATTTGATAGACTGAAAAAGAAATTAAATTTGCTTAGTGGGGGGTGGAGTCCAACTGGGTCCACTCAGAACAGTGACCACCGATTGGCCTAGTGTACCTGCCCTGGGTGATTATGATGATGGAGAATTTGGTGGAATGAAGATTTGCAGGGGAAACAGAAGTACTCAGAGAAAACCTGCCCCAGTGACACTTTGTCCACCACAAATCCCACATGACCAGACCCAGGTTCGAACCCGGGTCCCCATGGTGGAAAGCCAGCATCTAACCGCCTGAGCTGTGGCGCAGCCCATGTTTGGCCATATGTCCACCTGTATAATGTTGCATGTGTGTTCTGATGAGGGCCTTCGTAGTGTGTGGGACATGCTGCAGTTCAGTACAGCACATTCAGCACACTAACATGGCTCTTACACAATTTTATATAGACAGACATATAGTCAACCATGCAGTACATTTTACATACCAGCAATAGGAAAATACAGCCATCATTGTGATCATGTACTCATACAACAAAACTTTTATTAATTTTAACTGATATTAACTATTATTTTTAACAACATAATTTTTTTAATAACATTAATTAGTATTTTAGTCTACTCACAATTTCTAATGGTAGAAATCACTTTATGACAACCTGTTTTTATTGTGCACGTAAAGTATTTCTTTGTGATGTTGGTGGTCAGTAGTGGCCAAAACATGCTAAGGCCTTACTTTATATTACCGTATTTACGCATGTATAGGCCGCAGCACAATTTTCAGACAGAAATTATAGAAAAAATAATTTTCTTGGAATATTATTTCAGGAGTAGAACACCCTGTATTACTAATTATGAATATATATTTTTTTAAATGAAGTGTGATTTTGAATATTTCGAATATAAGCCGCACCCCAGTTTTCCTCTTGAATTTTTGGCAAAAAATGTGCGGCCTATACATGCGTAAATACGGTAATCTTGTTGCACTTGACAGACCTTGGTACTCAGTCTTCTCTTAAAAAAGTGGCAATTCAGAATATTTATTATATAAATCTTTATGGATCATGTTGCATTATTGGATTGTTACAGGTCCTCTTTGAATTGGCAACTGGCTTGAGGGCATATGATGATTCCAGATCCTACAAACTTCTGGTAAGAAAAATGTAACTGACATGCACAGTAATGTACTAAACCCGAGTTACTTCCTACTCTTGGTCAGTAACATCATAATAGAAGGAATAAATTGTTTCGAAGTGATATCTCAGTTATTAAAGTAACTGTCTTTGAGATGGATGTCCAGGGTATTATTACTGACAGAGGTGTGGATTTTTCTCTTCCATACCATATCCATACTACTTCTGTCGTACAGATACTTACGGCTTTTCCCCTTGTGATAAAATTGCTTGAGTATATAGTTCATCACCACCATTTAATTTCCCAGGTTAGGAAGGGATGGAACTTTCTTTCACCACCATACACCTTTATTTTCTGCTGCTTTAGGTACATGGACAACTACCCCATTTCCCTTATTCCTCTTTCCTTTTTTGTTTCTTGTATCACACCCATAGTAGCAGATATTTCTTGAGAATTCACTCAGTATTTGATTCTCCGTGTAGAAAGAGCATGTGGAGAACTGCACAAAGGAACAGTTGGAAACACTAATTGACAAGAAGGCAGTACCAGAAAATCCAGCAATATTCCAGCACCTGGTGGCTCTAGGCATGGAGTGTGTAAAGAAGATACCCAAACAACGACCCAAGATGGAGAAGGTCCTAGAAGAGTTGGAAGCAGTGGCTTCAAGACACCAGATTCATGACTTGGTTCCGTGTATGTTATTCTCTAGAAATTATTTTCTCTCCCAGCATCTGGCTTAGTTTTTCTCATGTATGTTACAGAATGTAATCTTTTGGAGGATTAGCACTCCCATTTTGTATTTGAGATGTCACAGGTTCAGAACCTGATTAGAAGATAATTATCCTAACTAAGGATTTCCTTGGCACCTTAAAATAGATATTGTTTGCTTTCTTTCACACTCTTTCCAGTTCATCACTCGTAAATCACCCTACCATTTGATGATACATGAGCTTTGAGATTGTGAAATCATTGATACATAAACAGAAAATCATATTCCTTTTTTTAAGTCCTATAGATGCTCATGCCTTCCAGTCCATTTTATAATGTATAAAATGATGCTGATGAAATTTGGCCGTGCCATAGCTCAAGCGGTTAGTCGCTGGCTTCCCACTGCGGCGACCTGGGTTCCATCCTGGGTCTGGTCAAGTGGGGTTTGTCGTGGACAAAGTGGCGCTGGAGCGGGTTTTCTCCGAGTACTTCAGTTCCCCTGCCAATCTTCATTCCACCAAGTTCTCCATTATCATAATCACCTGGGGCAGGCCACAATAGGCCAATCAGTGGCTGCTGTGCTGAATGGATCCAGTTGGACTCCACACCCCCCCCCAACTAAGCGAATTTTTTTAATTATGCTGATGAAATTTGTAATTTTGAAGTCAGTGTTTTAATTAAGTTATAGGTGGAAGGGGGTTGAATCATATTTTAGCTCATACTAATCTCTTCTAATCAGTTTTCATTATGTCTTTCTCACTGCCATGTGACCCCTGTGGTAGAGCGTCGGCAGAAGAACAGGGCAGTGAATGTCTTAACTAGACCAGCTAAATTAAAATAGACATTTAATTTTGAGATGTATCATTTTAAATGCTTTCATTATATATGAGAGAAAGTCAGAATCACAAATGGATATAAAATGTAAAACAGGTGATTTTCAAATCTGAAAAAAACATCCATTTCTTGACATATCCTCCACCAGCATTGATACACTTGTCCCATCGCTTCAACAGTGCATTGAAACCCACAGCATAGAAGTCTTTTGACTGTTGTCTCAGCCACTACCACACCTCTGTTTCAACCTCTTCATCATCAGCGAAACATCTGCCACCAAAGTGGTTTTTACTGGACAAAATAAATGGAAGTCACTAGGGGCCCAAATCCGGGCTATAAGGCAGGTGTTCAAGAAGTTCCCCCTGCAGTGCTTGAATTCCCTCCTGGTGTCTCGGGCTGTATGGGGTCTGGCATTATCATGATGAAGCAGTACCCCTCTTGCCAGTTGGCCTGGATGTTTTCTACAAATTTCATCTGGAAGCTTCAACAGAACTTAACACTTCAGTGCAGAATTCACATTTTCACCATGCTTCTGAAAATGGGCTAACAGTACTCCCTGAGAATCCCAAAACACAGTAAGCATAACCTTCCCAGCTGATGGCATAACCTTAAACTTTTTAGTTGAAGGTGAACTTGATGTCCCATTGCACTGAAACATATTTTTATTCGGATCAGTAGTGATGCACCCATGATTCATCCCCAGTAACAGTCCTGTTAAGCATAACTTTTCCTTCATCTGCATACTGTAAGAGATGTTTCAAAGACAGACCCATTTGGTTCATTTTTCCTTGATCCTGCAGTTCTCTGGACACCTGCTGTGTGCACAATTTCTAAAACTTCAAACGATCATGCATTATGCTGTATGCTAAACCGTGGGAGCACCGTAGTGCAGTTGCTACACTGGCTATCAGTATCCTCCTGTTAGCTCAAATCAACAGTTCCACCTGCTGCACAACATCTGCTCAATCTCAACAGGGCGACCTGCTTGGGCATCATCTGTGACTTTTGAACATCCTTGAGAGAAGTTATGAACCACTTTATGCAACAAACACTTCCCGCTGTAAACAGGAGACATCTTTTATGAACGTCTTTTGCATTTAGTCATTTTTTCACAGAAAGAAGAAACACACAAAAAACACTGCTCTTCAGTAGGACACTCCTCAAGTACAGTCACCACTTTGACTACTGAAACCAGCCTCTGAACATGCACATGCACTTCTGCTACCTAGACTGTCATGAAGCTGGACTATGCTGCTACCTAGTGATAGACATAGGAAATCTGTTATATCCATTACAGCTGTTTTACTTCCATTTGTGACTTATTTACTGACTCTGCCTCATATTAATTGCCTACTGAAAACCTGAAAGTCTCTCTCTCTCTGGTACCTTCAGTTTTCCATTTTTAGAAGTCTTGTTCAAATTAAAATGTTTTAAAGTGGTATCTTTTCTGTACATATATTCTTCTTTTGTTGCAGACACAAGCTTTATAATAGAAACCCATCATTACTAAGAATGTAGTGTCTTCCTTGTTCATATTTGTTGGTACTCAGTTCTAAACTGAAAAACCTGATGCTTCCAGCCATTTTATAAAAAAAGAAAGTATTTCACATGTTAAGTTATAGCTCAATTGACCATTGTATCCATGTTTCTGAAGAAAGGGTACCACAATAATAGGTTAGTGCCCTTACACATAAAATTCACATCTTAATTTGTTCAGTGTGTTAACAGTTGAAAGTAAGTAATGCATCTGAATATACTTTAAAGTAACCAACCTACCACCTTACTATCTTCTCCAATTGCTGCAGATCCAGGGAGTTCAGGAGCTATGTCAACAGGAGGTCAGTGCATCAGAACAAATCCCACTCTTACAATTCCATCACACCATCCTATTGGCAATATCCAACAGGCAGGGCTTAACAACTTGTATTTTTGTCTTCCTCCAAACATTTCCAGCAGTCATAACTTCCTGCCAGTTGCTGCTTTTCCATCCCCATCGTGTTCTCCATCACACAGCCCACAGCCCATTTCTGCATTGGGAATGCATTCCCCACATGCCCTTGGTGTAGCCTCTCATCCGTTTCCAGTTACTCCACATGTGCCATCCCCTGAAGTCGAAGTATCGCCAGGATCAGAAGAAAGTTTGGGTGATAATCATATGCCAGCTGCAGTGCTGAAACAACACTCGGGATCACAAAGACCGTCTGGACATGCCATTCTAGTAAGTTAACTTACTACAGACATGTCTTCAGTTCTTTTCAATTGAAATTATTTGAGTTGTAAATTAAAGAGTAATTAATGATGGTGTGACTTCTCACTTCGTACTTCCTTTCCTGTTTTCACCAGTCCCAAGAGACTTCAGCTATGTTGATAGCCTTGACTGAGGCACTCCTGACTTAGTGCCTGCTTGTTTCTGGGAGGGGCTGCTCGAGTTTAACATGAAATATCTGCCAAGGAGGAGGAGAAGATAACACAAAATCCTTTTAGAAATTAGTTCTGCTAATTACTAATTCTTGACACTTTTGGAGGACAGCTGTGGCACACCAAAGTTGTGGGCCTGGCTTCTGAATCACCTGAGGCTTATAATATGAATCACATGCTGAACGTGCTGGTCAAGAGGCATTTACTCCAAATGTATAAAGGTAAAGGTGCTTATTTAATTAAGCACCAGGCCGTGAAGATTTGTGGAGTGGGGTGACATCATTCTCAACCTGAGCACTAAATGGAGGTGAGTTGTCAGATTTGTGCCTGGGGAAAGAGCCCCAGATATGCATTGGATAGGAGGCTAGGTGGACCTCACAGCTGGTCTCGACACTGAAAAAGAGAAAAATCTCTTCCCCTGCCAGGAATCAAACTCCAGCTGTTCAACCTGTATCCTATCACTATACCAACTGAACTATCCTGGCTTTACTCCAAAAATGTACTGTACTTAATACAGGTGATTGTTATAAGTAAAATCTGATTCCAAATGGCAGTGAAAATATAGTGTATTTTGATGATTTGGATCTGTTCTCTGAATTTAGTTTAAAGCAGCTGATTCTAATCGCGTATAATCTAATTAAGCAGCACCACCTGTACACATATATGTTCAATTCTGCAGGACCAGGAGTTGGCACCATGTTCTCCAGATGATCTGAACAAAGCAGAACATTCGTTGCAGAATGGAATGTCTGTTAGTGCTCTGCTGCCTAATTTATCAATATTGGGCGTTGATGAAGGTACCCATTCCTCTCATGCTGGTATACCGCCATCTGCTTCCTGCCTTGATATCAGTGACACCCCAGAAACAAGTGCCTGTGAATCTACAAGTCTGAACCATTCTTCTGCTCAAGGAAAATCATTAATCTTTGATCTCAGATCTGTGGTAAGCCATACAAATGTTATGATCGGACACCTCTCATACTGTAATGCTGGCCCTAACTTTCTGTGATAAGGCAAGGGAGTTATAACAGTATCACCATTGAATCTGGTGTGGAAACAATGCACCTTCCTGATTCAATAAATCATGTCATGGCACTGTAAATAATTACATCTGTTACAGAGGAAATGTCTCTATCTTACACTCTATATTTGGGTCCAGTCTTTTCCTCTTCTCCTAATACAGTGGAATCCACATTTAATGTTCTTCAGTCTAAGCTTTGTCCCTGTTTAACATTCAGTTTCACTGATTCCAAGTCATTAATCTTGGAATTGAATTTCCTCCATTTTAGATTTTCTTCAGTTTAGTGTTCAAATCCATTGCACCCAGTAAGAAACTTTAAACAGAGGTTTTATTAAATTTATTTTTCCCTGGTGATTTCTTCAACATCTTAATCATTTATGACTGAAAGAAATCATCTGGGTGTGAAACTTGGTCTCTGACATTAAGGGAGGAACATAGACTCAGGGTGTTTGAGAACGGTGTTGATGAGTATATTTTGACCAAAGAGAGATGAAGTGAAAGGAGGTTGGAGAAAACTGCATAATATGAAGCTTCATAACTTGTACTCTTATCCAAGTATAATTAGAATGATCAAGTCAAGGAGGATGGGGGTGTGCAGGGCATGTAGCACGAATGGGGAGAAAGTCAGATGGAAAGAGACCAATGGGAAGACAAAGGTGTGATTGGGTGAACAATATAAAATGGATCTTAGAGAGACAGGATGGGATGGTATGGATTGGGTTAATTTAACTCAGGATAGGGAACAGTGGAAGGCTCTTGTGAACATGGTAATGAACCTTCAGGTTCCATAAGATGCTGGGAAGCTCTTGAGTAGCCTGCACAGCTGGCGGCTTCTGAAGAAGGGCTCGGCTCCATGAGTGAGTGAGGCCTGTTTTGAAGTATTGTCTTATTCTAGTACTTGTCATCTATATTAGGGCAGCCATACACCAACTGCGTCAAAGACAAGCATCAACACGAGACAAAATACGAAGTCTTGCTTCATTTGTGATTCATCAGCATCACGACTCAGACCGGTGTGCAGCAGTTTTCATAATCTCATTCGTTTCAGTTGTGCTTCTTTCTTTGTGTCATGTCGCAGACATCATGTCTTGACCCTTATATGTCTTGACACATGCTGATGTGCAGCCTACCTTACAGGTATTAATCCCAGTGACCATGTATCTAAGGCCCACACAGCCTTCAACTGCTGAAACATGGGAATGCAGAGTCAGATGTCCCTCAAAATAAGGATATACGAGGGGGACCCAAAAATAACCGGAATTTATTTTTGTTATTTTTTATTTTTGCATATTTATTGAACTGTATATTAGTCCCCTTCAAAGTATTGTCCATGTGCATTAATGCACTTGTCCCAACGCTTTTGCCACTGCTCAAAACAGTGCTGGAATTCTTGAGGCTGGATACTGTTCAAAGCCTTTAGCGTGTTTTCTTTGACTTCATCCACATCACGGAATCGCTTTCCTTTCAGACATCTCTTCATCTGTGGAAACAAAAAAAAGTCCGACGGAACCAGGTTGGGTGAGTAAGGTGGATGACGCACAATCACCATGTTGTTGCTTGTCAAAAACTGTCGGACCGTCAAAGCTGTGTGGGCTGGAGCATTGTCGTGGTGAAGCAACCAGTTCCCATTTCTCCACATTTTGGACCGTTTTCGTTGCACACTCTCTCGTAATCTTCGTAACACATCCAGGTAAAAATGTTGGTTCACTGTTTGTCCTGGCGGAACGAACTCTTTGTGGACAATGCCATTCACATCAAAAAAACAAATCAACATTGTTTTCACATTGGATCGCACTTGACGCGCTTTCTTCGGTCGTGGTGAAGTTGGAGTTTTCCACTGGCTTGATGATTGCTTTGATTCTGGATCGTACCCGTAGCACCAAGACTCATCGCCAGTCACAATTCTTTTAAGAAATTCTGGATCGTTCTGCACTTCACTCTTCAAGTCGCGGCAAACATTCACGCGGTTTTCTCTTTGGTCATCTCCGAGCAAGCGAGGAACAAATTTTGCAGACACCCGTCTCATGTGCAAACCTTCGGTTAAAATTCGCTGGACCGTGCTCCATGAGATGTTCGTTTCCTCAGAAAGTTGGTCAATGGTCTTTCGACGATCTTCATCAATTGCACGTTTGATTTTGGCAATGTTTTCGTCATTTCTTCCTGTCGAAGGACGCCCGGGGCGTGGCATGTCTTCTGTTGACATGTTGCCAGATTTGAAACGGGAAAACCACTCGTAGACCTGTGATTTCCCCAAAGCATCATCATTAAAGGCTTGCCGAAGCATCCCAACAGTCTCGGCTGCAGTTTTCCCTAACAGAAAGCAAAATTTCACGCACACTTTGTTCCTTCTGGTCGGCCATCTCACTAATCACCAAAGGGTTGAAACAGGAACGCACACAACAGAGCACCACAGACAAACCACTTAACTCAGACTGACGCCAGCTCACTAACAGTCGCGGGAGACCCCCAGCTAACACCACCTAGCAGCACAACTCGTAACTACAAAGCATGCGCGTGCAACTGGTCGGTTCCGGTTATTTTTGGGTCCCCCTTCGTATGTCTAATATTTTGTGTTCTCTCTGGACAGTGGCCTGATGACCCATCCAAGGGACCCTAAAAGAATTTAGAAAAATCTCTGTTAGGAATAAGGCAGACCAGGACTTGAATTGGGCTGTAGCTTCAAATTGTGTAAGTCTTAGGTAAAAAGTAAAGCTATTCCTGTAACAGGCCGTGAAGGCCCATGGGTTTGTGAGGCGTTGAGGGTCCCACATCATCTAGACAGTCGGCTCAGAGATGGCAGTAAGGTTGTCAGCCTTATGCACTGGCTGCATTTTACTCCCCAGGAAAATTATTTAATTAATTCTTGGTACCCATTTCTGTTAAAGGCTGAGTCGATATGAGGGCCATAGTGCGGCCGGAAGGATTAGGTCAAATTGTAATTTGTTGTTATTATTATTATTTCAGGAACCAAAAGAACATCTTCATAAATCATCTGCCAGTAATAGTGGAAGTGTTCATGACTTGTGAATCCAGTCTGTGAGATCAACTGTGCAGAAGAGAAGTATTACAAATGGCATTTAATGCTTTGTTTATTTGATGTTTTTAATTTTAGCATCAGCATGAGCTTTTTTCAGGTTACAGTCATGTTATTTATAGTATAGTGAAATGTTGATACAAGAAAGAGAGAAATAAGTAAAATATTACATGCTTTAAAATTCCCATCATACATCATACATGATACTTTAGTTTGTTATTAAAATGTTTTATTTTTTACAGTGTAGACATAGACACTTTGAGGAAGCAGAAATTGTCAGCACCATTTGTAAGTTCAGACTTACATGACATTTATTTTCTATCCACCAAATATCTTTAACTTAGTTAATACTGGTCTGTCACACTAGTAATAGTGTAAAAGATTATTAACACCGTCCAGGGTGATTGATTTCTTCTTCTTATTGTTTTAAATCCTTCATCCTTTAGATGTTTTGGTAGGAACGACCATCTTCAGAAGGATACATCAATACATGTGGAAACTACTATAATAATGTCATGAATGTGTTAAAATATTTATAAATTATTATAATAAGTATATTCACATGTATGGTTTAGGAACTGTGTTAAACTCTAGTACCAATTTGGTTCATGTCCTTTATACTGCTTCTCTTTAAGGGAAGATGAGTTACCATGTCATGGTTACATTGTTATAACAACACAGTATGGCCTGTAGTATACACTCATCTTCCTTTAAAAGGAGTATAAAGGACACAAACCAAATTGGTTCTAGATTTTAACATAGTTTTTAAACCATACTTGTAAATAAAAGTAAAGGTGAAGAACGCAGTCTTCTGGGATGTGGCACCATGTAGATATAGTGTTAAGCAGGTATCCCTGTAACAGGCCGTTGAGGCCCATAGGGTTGTGAGATGTTGAGGTTCCCACATTTTCTAAGCAGTCAACTCATAGATGGCAGCAAGGTTGTCAGCCCTATGCGCCGGCCGCCCTTTACCCCTAAGAACATTCCAAGAATATTCCTGGTACTCATTTCTGTTAGAGGCTGAGTCAACCCCAGGACCATAGTGCAGCTGGAAGGATTA